ATTCTTTGAATAGGAAAAAGTTATGTATATAAACCTATATTTACAACACATGTTGACATAACACATATTAAAAGTAATGAAAAAATTAAAACATCTGTAAGTAGGCTCAGACACATTAAAATGAGATAGTTTCTATATTTTCAACATCTTCCTCCTTGTATGAAGGGCTATATTTATACACATAGAGCTTAGGCAACTGTCACCGTGTAAATTCATTGGCTGCTATGTTAAGAACTCTATTGTGGGAAACAATCTGAAAGGGAGAGCTTTTTCTGTGAAAGTTTCAAGATGTGTTCAATGATTTGAAATATTTCCAATAAGATATGTTGGAGGAGACAGACTGTGGAAATGAAGGGAAAAAGTCAACCAAAAACTTCAAATAGGGATTTGTATACACTCAACTAGAACCTTTTACTGAAGTTCAAGGCCTAGATTATTTTGTTTATTTTATTCTTCATTAAAGTGCACCTCTGCCTCAAACGAGAAGTTAAGTGCCAAAATTCTATGCATGTCTCTTCTCAAAGTGTTTCCAGAAAGATGGGAAACAGGAAGTATTAAGAATTCTGTGAGAAACTCTGTCTTTGGGATTTCTAGCTCTCTCTCTCTCTCTCTCTCTCTCTCTCTCTCTCTCTCTTTATATATATATATATATATATATATATATATATATATATATATTAATAGTAGGGTAAATGGTTTTCCAGCTTTTCTACCCTCCCACTATTAGGATTGCCTGGCCTGATGGGCCACCTGCAGTTTTACATTGTTGTAAGCTGTGTTTACTTCTGTAGGCCATGGCTCAGTATTGAGATAGTCACCAACAGAAGCAGAAGCAGGAGAAGAGGCAGGAGAGAGAGAAGGGGAGAAAGAATCCTAGAGTGAAGACCTGCTGGGGGCTTGGGGGCCTGCCGGCCTCCTGGCTCCCCAGCACCCCTGCCTGCCATGTACCTGTTGCTGCTCTACATGTAAAAGCTCAATAAAAGCCTGAGAAAGCCACCGAGGGCTCCAGGATCCCTCCTTTACCCATCTGGTCTGCTGGAATCATAAAACTTGTTCAGTGCCCTTCCTGCCACTACATATATACATATATATATATATATATATGCAGAATATCATAAATTGTTGCTCTATGGAACACTGATCCTGAAAGATGCATCTTAATAATGTTGTTTATTTAACATAGACTTTCCAAAACTTGACAATAGAACTCTGAACAGTAACACCTGATAAAAAAATATATTGACTGCACTTTAGAAGGTAGTACTCTGGAGTTTGGGAATCAGCATCTTAGTGTTAGTTATGCATTTAAATCTAAGCTACATTTGTTGCTCAAGGCCAGTATTGGGGAAAATATTGCTATTTTATCTACATAATTTTAGGACTCAGGCGTTATAATGTCCTTCAGTAGTCTTCCTATGTAGAGTTCTCCATGATAGCTGAGCTGATCTTTCCCTTGACCTTTTTAGGGAATCTATTAAAGGGCCTATGAAAAGGTTAAATAACAAAAGGGCATATGATTAGTGTATGGAGTAAGAAAATTAAATTTAAAAGCACAGGGGTGAGCACAGACTGATCCTTAAGAAAATCTGTCTTCTGATTTAGAAAAAAATTTTGACTTGGCAAGGAAATTTTGTTTTTAGATGTGATAAGAGATGGATAAAATGAAATATTGTGAAAGCAAACTCCCAAAATACCCAGATGGAGATCAGCAAGTTAATAAGGAGATATTCAGGTGATACCTTGATTTCTGGTACAATGGTTGGGGAAAATAAGGTTGATAATATACTAAATCAAAGAGATGAGACTAATTCTAGTTTTCACAGCAGTGAGATATGGACAGAGTTCTATTCTGTTTAGAAGACATAGTTTTAAATGTTAGGTCTGCACAGTGTCTGCTGGATTTTGAGAAAATTATTTACATTATAACCTAAACACTCAGCATGGTAATGCCCATTGAGTCTATTACTATAGAAACCAAGAAAATAAGAGATTTTTTTTAATGATGTACAACTATAACAATGTATTAACAATGTTATTAATAAGTCAGGGTACTATATGAATTTTTCTGGTAAGAACATTTGGGATTCAAACCAATTGGAAATTGTAATGAGGAAGGACTGACTTCCCAAGTAGACAATAACCAAGGGATGAGATATAGCAAAGAAAAATGACTTGTAGGGAGCCAAATATGAAAAGAATATGGAAGTAAGGGATGAGTGGTGTCAAGAGAAATGGAAGGTCAGCAAGAGATGAGTCTTGTCTGAAGTGTTATCATTCGTGTTCCTTTACATTAATACATAAAGCTAATAGATAATTACATGAGTATAAAAGTTATTAAAGGAGCACCAAGTGAATTAATAAGATGGGAAAATGACTGGAAGAGAAAATTAACTGGTGATAAATGCCATTAGGAAACAATATGGCATGTTTCCAATTTTCTTGTTATTTTCATGCATATTATTTGAATTTCTAAATCTTTTGAGGTGTTTGTGATGCAGGGTAGTCTTTTTTTTTTTAAAAAAGATTTATTTATTCATTTACACAAGAACCGGGGTGCAGGACAGATGTGCGGGAGGGTGAAAGGTATCACCAGAGACAGCACAGGAAGACTGATGAAATACACTGCTGAGGGGAGCAGCAGGCGCGACAGGAGAGGTGTGCTGTGCCATGTGGGACCCTCACCGGCTGGCTGGGATCGAACCAGTGCTGCAGAGGCTGCGGACAGCTTCATAGTGCAGTGCTCAACTGCCTGCGCCACCAGGGGCGGCCCTAAGTGTAGTCTTATTTCCATGAGCAGTTCCTTCTTTACTTGACATAAATAACTACTCTTAGATAACAGACCATGTTGATACTTTTGACACCTGGTAGTTATCGTGCATTTAAGGTTGTTTAGTGAATATGAAAATCATACAATATCAAAACTTTGTAACATAATAAGTAAGTTATACCTTATACTCAGGAAATGCAGGCTTGTTCTTCCGCATGTTAGTGTCCAGAATTTTTTCCTTTGGCACCACAACATCTTTCATGAACTTTGCATCATAACTCTTTCTAAATTATCCTGACAAAATGAACAAAACCCCTTTATTGACATCTGAGATAGATCTTTAAGTATATGTCCTCTGAACAAGGAATACATCAAAAATGGAAAGTAGAAAGCATCAATGCAAAAAGTTTACTAACTAATTTATGGCCATCTTATAACTGATCATTACTCCAGAGTTAGACACACAAAAAAAATCAAAAGTAAACTGGGGATGAACTAGAGCATCATTATTAATCCTCAAACTGAAGGTCAGAAATTCATAGGTATGAAGAATCTCTCCTCCTACAACCACAACAAATACACTGAACACTTAACCAGTAGGTGGGATGATTTTGTTAACCAATACAGAAGGTTTTTCAGTTTTGTTTTGCCGGATTTTTATCACTAACTTTGAAATACTAAATGATGATAAATTGTACCTACTCCTTAACAGATACTGCCTTATTGTCTTAACTTCCTTGCCTAAGTTTTCCATTTCTAATTTTTTAAAAAACAATTTAAATGACAGTCACATTTTTTAAATTACTACACCCAATGTCCATATAAACTGACTGTTTTATGAACAGTCCAGGGCAGCACTGCTTTTACTGTTGAAGGAAAGCAACTGAAAAGAGAGGAGTGGCTTTTCTTATCTTGCAGAAGTCACAGAGCTGCCTCTAATGGGTCTCAATGTGAATTTTTCATCTGTGAATCTGGGCATGCTACCAAAAGTGTTGTAAATTGGTGGTGTCTTATAATGTAGAAGCTTTCTGGTATTTTTCATGCTTGTTTCAGCAGGCAACATTTCTACCATTTGCTGGGTCACAGACTCTTGGGGGCAGGTTTTTTAGAGAGATCTGGAATGCCCATAAGCAATTCCCTTTGCTCTTCTTAATCCATGAAAAGGACGGATATCCCAGCTTTTCCCCAGTACATGGAGTTAGAAACTATGGCTTTTCAAACATGTTCTCTTTATAATTTAAGCATTAAGTTTAAAACACTCCCCAACGTTCTCTTTTTGAAAACTTAGGGGAATGATTGAATGAATGCTATGTTTCTTGATGGTAAATTAAGTGCCCAAACCTGTATGTTATATTCGAATGTTAACTTGTAAACCAAGAACAGGTTGAACCTTCTGACAGAACTGATAAAACTGAATAAGGTTTTACTCTGAGGAATACTAGTATAATACATACTATAAACTATAAATGCTTTTTATTCCAAATCAGCTGCTAGAGTGCTTCTGCATTCCCTAGCATCTTTAATATGCAATAATATGCAAGGGGAGTATGTCCCAGAGCAGGAAGGTGCTTGGCTGAAGACTGCATCAACCTCAGTTGAAACAAAGCAACCCAAGTCCTTTTGTAAGACCATTGCCAACCACCTAATGTAGTCTCTGTTCTCAGAACCATTTATCCAGTTGTTTGGGAAATTGTCATGCCTTTATGCTTCCTCCTGAAGCACAAATTGAGAGATAAACTGGTGGTTATCATACCACACCAGGTATCAGAAGTCCTAAGAAACTTAACTCATTGTGACTTTCCATAACTTCCTGGTCCTGTAATTTCTGCATAAATGCATTATTCCCTGACACCAGAGAACTATTTTGAAATTTAATCACTGTTAATGTTTTGAGAATCCCAAATGAATGAAGCAAAGGAAATAAAAAATAGTCCCATGTTTTGTTCATACTTTTCTCCTCATGTGTTTTCTCATTGAACCCATTTCCTTAGGATGCAACATTGGAAATAAATATTTAGGAAACAAACGTTACTCTGTCAAGCGATTGAATGATTCTTCATTTGTCATGCTATATGTATAACTCCTATGCATGTTCTTGAATTGCTCTTAAAAAATATTTCCATGGTGAAATATCTAACTAAAATTTCTTCCTTTAAATAAATTCAGAAAGAGTTGAATCTCATTTTTTTGTCTAACATTTTTGAAACTAAATCTTATCTTCACTTCCTTATAGTTTATTAGAACATAAAATCTTAGAAATGGAGGGAAAGCACAAGGAAGAGCTGGACACCTTAAAAGAAGAGAAAGAGAACCTTCAAGGCTTGGTTACTCGTCAAGCATATATAATCCAGGAACTGGAGAAACAGTTGAACAGAGCCACCAACAACAACAGTGTCCTTCAGAAGCAACAGTTGGAGCTGATGGACACAGTGCATAGCCTTGTCAACCTCTGCACTAAAGAAGGTGGTAAGAATTTCTTCCTCACATTGGTATCATAAATATTTTATTTAACATGGAGAAAGTAAATATCCAATAAAATTTTCTGCGTTACATTGATTGCTGTGTAAAAGCAGAAAAGAGATTTCTTCTTAGAAGCATTTCATGAAATATGCAGTGACTTTTTTATGATTTTAACTTAAAGAGAATGTAATTGAATTGGTGAATATATAGTATCTTTCTAAAAGAGCTTCAAGTTTCTTCTTTCTTGTTATTTTTAACCTTAGATAAAATCTACAATACTGCCATGGCTAAATACTTGATATTATTGTGTTGAGCACTTAAATATATCAAACAGAATTTAGCCAATGTTAAAGAGTCATTCAGAGAGTTGGGGAGAGTTTCAGAAGGGTTCCCATTTTAAAACTAATAATAGCTTTTTTTCTTTTATAGAGAAGGAAAGAATGAGTTGCTTACAGGAAAAAGTAAAAATAGATGTTCCCAATAACTAGTATAAAGAATATGTTTTGAAAAGTATTTCTTAAGATCACTTATGATTAGTCCAATGTGAAGAAAACCAACTAGGGTATCTAAAGCACATTTATTTTGGGGTGTCTGTGAGAGTGGACATATACATTTTTAACATGACTAGTATGTCTGGAACCACTTAACCATTGGAAATATTGCAGACCTGTGTCTCTTTAGAAAATATCCATCCGTCTATCCATCAACCTGACAATTACTGAGTGAGTGCCTCTGTGTGCACTTGTCCACTTAGCAGAACCTCTCTTGAGCCTCAGGAGAACTCTTCAGTTTGGAACTTAAGGTCATCTTCTGTAGTTGTGCTCTCTTATCTTTCTTCCTGAGTGAGGATAGAATGGTAAGTGGCGATGAGTGAAAGAACACCACATACATCTGAAAGTTGCGATTGTCATTTCAGTGTGGCTTATGGGAGACCATTCATGAGTTGGTTGGGTCAGTATGCATATGTAATAGACATAACGTGGAGGCTCCTTTAATGTAATAGTGGACTTGAACAATATGAAAAATTATCTCAATTCCATACTTTCATGTACAGATATGAAAACAGAGGATAATTCCGTATTATCTTGTTTTAAAGACATTTCACATTTCTCTATTACACTCCATTACCTTGAATTATATCTTCTTTAGATAGTCTAAACAAGCTCTTAATATAATTTGTAAAGAATATTTTTTTAAACAGTGAGTTCCCAGAGCTCCATTTGGGCGTGCTCAAAAATGTGATTGGGAAGGAAAAAACCTGCTAATCAGTCAGAGTCTGCCAAAACCTTGAGTTAGAGTCCACTGGAAGGAAAGCGTGGTAGGATTTTGCCAGAGAATTTTAATAGAGCTCATGAGTATTTAGAAATTAAGTACTAGTATGAGACATATCTATTCTCATATTGAACTGAATACATTTGGGGAAAGATTGAAAACATATTTTTCTTATCATCCTGAGACTTGCAGCACATGGAGTTGAGTAGTACTTTTTTTTTCGTGATGTTAGAAATATCAAGCCCTGGTGATTCTCACAGAGCTCATATGTCTGCCTACTTATCATAATTTCACTTCTTTTCTAAGTATTTGTCTAATAAATATGTCTTTAAAATTTTTAGGGGAGTGACTTCAAAATTAAAATTCCTGGCTAGGTTTGGAGTTTGGGTGTAACATCAAGCAACCAGTATCTGTTCAAGTAAAGAAATATTTTTTGAACAGTTCTGATGGCAATCCTGGTTGATTCTACCCATAATATCTATGAAGCATATTAAAAAAAAGACTCTCTGTTCTATGATATAGAATGTGCAAAAAGAAAAAAAAAGAGACAGAAATTGTCTAATTCTGCATGCCTCTAGATACTTATTTTCTTTTTAATGATACAATTCTAAAATAAAACCTAACTTAACTATACATTAGTAGATCAAATAAAAACCCACTAGCTTATATTCTAATGGGTCAGTACTCTCTTGTCCATAAATGTTATTTGATTTTTTGTTAATATTTGGATTCTTTAATCCCACAGTTAAGTATTTTCACTAGATTTTTGATCATGAAAGGATTCATAAGACACAAACATGGAGTGTAGATCTGACTAAGGTTTCCATAAAAGTTTTAATTCTTTGCATGTCTTCATTTTCACTTAAGCCATAGTCTGTAATGATGATATATTTAAATTTTTGAATGACTAATAGCATAATAATGGATTAAATATCAACTGTTTAAATAAACTTTTATTTTCTAATTCTAAAACACCATAAATAAAAATTCATTTATTACATGATTTTTTTTAAATCACAGGATTGTGTGTAAATATTCTTTTTTAAATGCAAAAAAAAAAATTCATTGACTTAAAGATCTTCTGGTTCCAACTTGCTCTCGTCATGTATGGAGACAACCCATAATACTGAAGGAAAAGAGAAGAACATTCTAGATAGTATTCTTTGTCATTGGCAACTATTTAACCTTTATAAAACTGTTTTATTATTTATAAGACTGGATAATCATGTATACTTCACAGTGATAGGGAAAAATTAAATAGATACTACTTATAAAAACAAATAGCACATGATATAATTGACTCTTTGAACTTTAGTTCTTTCCTTCTCCTTCAAGTGACAAGATTTTATTAAACATATTTATTAAGTGCTATCTATATATAAGCAAATTTTTTTTCTCATGGAAAATGCATGAATACAGTGCCCTAGTGTGTCTATTGACAGTCATCAAGTTCTTTTAACCTCAGTTTTCTTGTCTCTAAAATGGAGTAATACTTGATGAGATGACAGTAAAACATAAAAGAGGTTTACATAAAACACATAGTATCTCTGCCTAGTCATTAAAAATGCCATAAAAAGTCATTTATTTTTATAAAGAACTCCTAGGAAGTGTTGGCTATAAATTTACCATTTCCCAAAACATCTGTTCGGTCCAGAACTATAAATCTATTATTGACCATAGGGAGTAATATTTTTTGTTTCATAAAACTTTTCCTACTAAAAAAAAAATCTATGTCGTAAGATACATTTATGTTAAGTAGAATTAATAAACACATTTTCTGAAATAATTCGCCAACCCTTTTTCTTGTTCCAAACAGGCAATAGTGGTGTCTTAGGCAAATACTCATTTCATACTAAATTGTATCCATTTGGCTTCTGGGTAACACATTTATTTTTGTTTGACCTTTGTCTGCAAATATTTGGTCACATTTATTCTTAGAAACATTACCCACTAAAGAAATATTGCCCTAGGGCCTCCCCGGTGGCGCAGCGGTTGAGCGCTGGGTTGCGAAGCTGCCCGCAGCCTCAGCGGCACCGGTTCAATCCCCGGCTGCTCCCCGGCCACCGGAGGAGGGTCCCACATGGTGCGCAGACCTCTCCTGCCACCCGCTGCTCCCCTCAGCAGTGTACTTCGGTCCTTCTGCCTGCTCTGCTCCCTGCTCTGGCTCTGGTGAATTCTCTCACCCTCCCGCGCTTCTGACTGTACCCAGTGCATGTATAAACAAAGCAAGCAAACAAACAAATAAATAAATAAATAACATGCCTCTATTAAAAAAAAAAAAAAAAAAAAAAAGAAATATTGCCCTCAGTGTTATCATAGTGTCAAAGCTTAGTGGATTGCTTCATGCTTTTGGCAATTCACAGTTATTACTGAAATTAAATAGTTTGCATTGATAATACCATGGAAACAAAATTTAGAATTCTTTGGGGGAGGATAATCAGGTACCCTGACTATTAAATATGCACCAGTCATTTTCATTCAGAGGTGATTAAAACATCATCACATACATTGAACACACATGAGGCAAACATCCTATTATGTAATCAATAATTTAATTACTGGGCCTCCCCAGTGGCGCAGACAGTTGAGTGCAGCGCTGTGAAGCTGTCCACAGCCTCTGCAGCACAGGTTCCATTCCCGGCTGGCAGGGGAGATGTCCACATGGTGCAGCAGACCTCTCCTGTCTTGCCCGCAGCTACCCTCAGCAGTGTATTTCGGTCCATCTGCCTGTTCTGCTCCCCACTCTGTCTCTGGTGAATCCTCTCACTCTCCTGTGCCTCTGGCCTGTACCCCAGTTCTTGTATAAAAATAAATAGAGCTGCTTCTCTCACTGTCAAAATCAGCTCAGAATATAATCATGCTTTACCAGCATATGATTTATAAATATCTCCATTCATAAAAAAATGTTGTATGATAACTGTTTTGTTTCAGATTCTCTTATAGCATATAAGACTATTAATCCATTTTTATTTAATAAATATTTGCTGAGTTCCTGTAATATGCCAGGTACTGTTCCATCTACTGGGAAAAGTGAAATGATGTAATTCAGTTGCTAGCTTTCAAAAAATCTAGAGTTTGGTCCCAAAATCCAAGAGACACATAATTGCTTGTTATATTCTGTATATTTATGGTATATTCTATATTTGTTTGCTAGATGTGAAGCCAGAGTACCAGGGTAGTCTGCAAAGCACACAGAAGGAATATTAAAATCATGGCAGAGACAAAAGGATGAAGGCAGAATATAGCATCTGCAGAGTCTTAAGGATTTTGTTGAATGATTATTATAATTTCCAGGAGTCATGAAATAGGATGGCTGGTGGGAAGGGATGTAGAGGGTTTACCTAGATACATAGCCTACATCTTAGAATCCAAGGCAGGAGAAGAGTGAAAAATGAGGTTAAAGAGGTAAACAGAGAGAACAAGGAAACTGCATTTTATCCCTGAAAGCAGTAAGCAGTCACTGTCAATATAAATGGGCAGTGTTGACAATTGCATTCCAGAATAATGACTTCAGTCAAAAAATGTATCGGAAAGTTGACAAGCTTGAAATTAACAGGACCAAATATGTATTTTTGTCATTATTAAACCATTAGCAAATATGTAGTGCATATACAGTCTAGTAGTCTGAGATCTTTGCATATGTTAAACCATTTAATTCTAATAACAATTTTACAAGCTAGGTGCCATTATTAACCTTATATGACAGATAAAGGAACTTAACACAGAGAGGTAAG